AAAGTATAAAAATACATTTTTGTAGTAGAAGTGCCAGCTATGCATTTTTATATAATGAAATTACCAATAGTATATATTTATAGTAAAATGACTAACAATACATGTTATCTGTAGTTGAAGGCATACAATTGCGTTCAAAATCTATTTAGTTGAAGGCATAAGATTGTGTTCAAAATATTTGGATTTCGGCATTAAATAACCCATAGAGGTGTTGATATGCCGCAAAACAAAATCAACCAACCCGGCGAATGTATGTACCACTTGGGTAATGACGATTTGATCCACTGCAAAATGCTCTCACATACCTAGCTTTCCCTTCCATTTTTGAAAGCAATCTGTTTATTGATCGCTAACAGCTACTTTGTTACGTTCCCCTTAATCCCGTCCACGATAATGGCGATTTTAGCTCTAATCTCTGGAGATTAGTGGGATAGACAGATCTGAATGATGCTAAGTTTTAACAAAAAATAAACAAATAAATAATTAAAATTAAAAAAATAAAAATAAATGTGTTTGTGTTCTGGACAATGAACAGGTATTGAATACGAAGGTCGCTCATCGTCGAAACTGACGCAATAGCGTCTCACTGCAAATTGATTAACTTCGCTTTAAAATGTCTGCATAGACATGCGCATTAAAGTCACCCATGATTTGGCTAACATCAAAGTCGCGCAACCGGTTCTCAATATATATTCAAAACGGCTGGATACTTTCCAGACAGAAGTCACTCGCATGTGGAGGGGCGTGTGTGCGCACGCACACACACACACACACACACACACACACACACACACACACACACACACACACACACACACACTTACTTACATACGTTTCTTATGTTGGTATCTTTACTGGCATAAATGAACGGTGTTCGCGTTCTCTTTAATACATTATCAGATATGCGCATCTATCAATCTTTCGCTTATATTTGCAACCTCTTCGAAGTGTACAGGCAGAGGCTAAATGTAAAATGTCGCATTAAAAAATTTTCATCCAAACAACAATAGGTACAATAAAAATAAATACACAACAAACAACCAATTCCTTTTTCGTTTCATTCGTTCTGATTTCGTTGACAAACGACGCTATTTAAATGGACATTTGATTTTTCCCCCTCTTATTTTACATTCAGATTGGATCTCAGCGGAATACGAAATCAGGCGCAAAGCCCACTTCGTATTTTGCTGACAACCGCTCCACCCACCAGCAATGCTGCTATCGCGCCAGCTGTCAGCGTTAAGCAGTTTTGCAATCGGCCGTCGGAACGCATTCTTATCTTAATAGAGAAGGCCGCCATTTTTCTATACCGGAAACAGCGACAAGACCGCTTCTCCCCATCTTGATGAGCCCGATTCCAGTAGGCTGAAGTTTTACTTCTGGGGGTCGGCCGTGGAAGATAACGTAATCATCTTTGTTCTGGCCATTAGCAATTAAAAATGCACAAAAAGCTGATTATAGTGTTCATTAACATATTCATTTGATCTTTATATATATATATATATATATATATATATATATATATATATATAAATTAGCGAATTTATTACGCCTTAAGTTTAACGTAGTTATCAGAAATGAAGATAATTGTGTATGTTAATGGTGCATTTTATTTACATTTTATTATTATTACTATTATTATTATTATTATTATTATTATTATTGCGCCAACAAAGTGACAACGCTGGGGTACAATATACGAAGACTAGCATCCATCATGGCACCTAATCTGATAAGAGTATACCAGGCACATGCGTACCAGCTAAATGTGCACGATTATTATTATTATTGTGCGTGTTCCGCCATTCGTTAGTTCGCACAACTGTTGCGTCCTGCCAATACCTCATTAATAAGGGACTATTCCGTTTTGATCGCGTGAAAAGAGGGGAAAAGACACTACTTGGTTTCAGTGAGAAAATGGAGAAAAGAAAGAAAGGAAGATAGAAGTGGAGAGCGAATCAGATTAAGCTGATAAGAACAGATACTACACTTTGATCTTAACCAATAGACCGAGAACTGATTGCATTTTCTTCCTGTCCCAAGCTGGCAGGATGTGACACAAGGTCAGTTTAACGCGGTAAACCCAAGAACGTTCACCTGGGCCAGGTTCCAAAATAGCACAGACTCCGCAACCATCGGCTGTGCTGGCATCGGTATTACTACAGATCCCCTGTATTTAGTGCAGTGAGGGAGGTACTGCTGCTGACAGCTGTTTCTCGAGACAAGGCACCTCTTAGTAATATTTTCAGTTATTCTCTGACCGTAGGCCGACACAACAGAGAGATGAAATGTGGTTTTCCGCCCGAGAACAGATACTACATGACAGCGACTACGATAAAAGCATTTTCCAGACGCCCAGTGTCGAATAACAAAAACCGAGTAAAGCAATTGCCAAAAATCCAGTTACAATAGATAAAATGACATCGTCTGCTGAATTATTTTAAAATTATTTCTCAGAGAAATATTCGTAAGACAGGGATTTGGTTAGTTATTATTATTCTGCTTCTTTCTGGCTTCGTTAGCGCTTGCCATTACTTACCCTGCCATTACTTCGGATGAACAATAAGCCATTCCTGTTTAACTGCGAGTATAGACGGAAGAAAAGACAGAAGAAAAGGCGCTGTTTAGTTTGAGGGAAAAGAAAGAAAGAAAGAAAGAAAGAAAGAAAGGGAAGATAGAGGAGGCGGTAACATTCTCATATGTTTAACACCTGAAAGGGAAAAAAACTTGTCAATTTTAAATCCTTTCATTTGTATCCTCTAACTTCGTTAAATAATGACCAGCGTCATATTCATGGTGATTTTCTAAAAGTAGCTTACTAAAGCCGAAAGTATGGGGCACCCAGTGAGGACCAAATTCACTACGCAGGCATAATTGTTCTAGCGAGACAAGCTTGCTAACCATTATACAACGCCAAGGTGTCTAAATGATAAATTAGATGTGGCACAAGGCCGAAAGTGTGGAGCAACCAGTGAGGATTGTCATTGTAATATTTTATTAAAGTTGTTAAGCTCAAATAGTTAACGAGTGAATAAGGGGCATTTTCATAGATATTTTATAGTCATTGAAATCGCAAGGAGCTTATTTCAATCATTAACTGAAGAATTAAGATTCAAGTGAAAAATTAAAATAAGAAAACAACGTGATAATTAATGGGTATTTATAATAATAATAATAATAATAATAATAACTTGAACTACATTTTCGCAGTTTTACATGTAAATGGTGTTTCATTAAGAAGGATCAAAGTCAGCAGTAAATAAATCAGTGTTATGGTGCTCTTTTAACTCATAGACGGTGCCCAATTGACCCTACATGCGTGAAATTAAAATATAAAATGGCGAAAATTTACACATCCTACCCTATATATATATATATATATATATATATATATATGGTGGAATCACCTGTCGTATTCGACGTATGAGGGTCAAGTAGCTCACTTCCTAGGAACCGACATATGGTTTGATTACAGTGGTGAAGCTTTGTGCAGAAGCAACCACACTTTTTTAAGTGGCGAATACAAACGACCCTCCGTAAGTTTTGAATTCAGAGTTGTAATTCTCCGAGAGCAGTTGCCATCCAAAGCTATAGAATCCCGTCTGTCCTGCTATTTGCCCATAGACTGAATTCGAACTCGGCTCAATCCACTACTCCACCGTGCCTCCTAATATATATATATATATATATATATATATATATATATATATTATAATAATATTTTTTTGTTTAAAAATATGATTCCTTCGCTACATAAGAGTTCTCATGTTTCAAAAACGAGAGACGAAATATCCAAATAATTATTAAAATTAAGTTGGATTGTGGTGTTTAGTCCCGTTTCATCTTCAAGCGGAATTTTAGGAATAAGCTCTCTGTCGGTTTACGTGTATTTTTAGGCCCGGTCCGTTACAGAATTCGTTATTGTGGGAGTGGCTAGACTATTTTCCTTCGTTAAGTTGTCAGAGTTAATTCTTATCAATAGATTCATCATCTTCTAAGAGGTTTTGCTAAGGTTGAGTGGGGGTATCTATTTCAAGGCTAATGTTTGCGGTCACCCTTTAGTTAGTTCCCAGTGAGGGATATTTTTATGGCGCGCCTACAATCGTTATGTGTCTGGGGAATTGTCTTTTATTAATGTCCATCTGATTATCTGTTTATTTATTTGTTTATTCAAGTGGGTGTTTTATATACAGATCGCATTGCACTGAATTTCAAACAATATATATATATATATATATATATTGTAAGGCTCAAATAGTTAACGAGTGAATAGGAGGAATTTTCATGGATATTTTATTGTCCTTGAAATCGCAAGGAGCTTATTTCAGTAATTAACTGAAGAATTAAGATCCCACAGAAAAATTAAAATATGAAAACCGTGTGATAATTAAGGGGAAATAATAATGGAAATATCGATAAGCTTGTATCTGTGGGAAAAAAAAGATGTAAGGGGGGGGGGCTGTGGAAATAATAAATCGCCTACAAGACCGTATAAAATCTTTTGAACTTTGTCAAGGCTACAAAGAAAAGACTATGCAGATCCAGATATGGCAGCAATACTTTTAGTCTGATCTTACTCTTGTAAAGATAGAGCATGGCAGGAGGAGTCGGATACTTTCCCAGCAGGATCGTATATATGAGATCTATCAGAAGACTGGGGTAAAAGCTCAAAGCAAGGAGCCTTTTATAATGTGCAAACATTCATTGTAAATGGTGAGAAATTTATTTGATTGATTTGTTTTTTACGGTTTATCAACCATTTGCAGGTTATTTAAAGCCAGAAAATATTTTTAGATTGTAAGATATTTTTTATATAATAATGATTTAGTGATACAAGTCTTACTAATTAACCCATATCTGGGGGGAGAAGAGGTGGATTCATACCTTTTCCCAAGGGTATTTGCGCGTAAGTGAATATAACGAACCCAAATGGAATTGGAGCTCGGCTCTCCGATTAACAATTGCAGGACATTATCAATTGCACTACCCGAATCTGTAAGCTGACAGCACCTGGTATTCGTAAGCGGTCACCCATCTAGGTACTAACCAGGCTCGATATTGCTTAACTTCGGTAATCTTACAGGAATAAAAGTTATAAGCCAGAAAGAATCATCACCTTTCCATCCGAAATATACACCTGATGAATGAGAGATAAGAGGAAAAGTTGTGGCAATTCAAAAGCAAGAACAATGAGATCAACAGCCAGACAAAATTTTTATCCCTTTTAGTGACGTCAGGCTACAACATAAACGAGTGGCTGGAGAGGAAATACATAGTAGCAGTTGCAGCAGCTATTAGTCTAGTAGCAGGAGAAGCTGGCTGGAAACTTTATAAATCCATGCTTCTTTCACAAAGAAACCCTATCTTCCCTTTTTCTTCACTTGTCGTAGTGCCACAGCCCTAACGCAAAACGCTCCTCCCCAGTCGTTCAGTAGTAAGTAATTTTCTTTGTTCAGAAATGTAAACGTTTGGACCCGGGCTCACCTTTTTACACAGACAAACTTTTATTGTTTTATTTATATTTTATGGAATAAATATTTAATAAAATATCAACCTATTGTGTACCTGTTTTCATTCTGAATCGTTTTGTTGAAAAAAATGTGGGGTGGTGTAGATACCTAAACGGTGTTATCCATCACTTCACTCTGAACATGTTTTTCGACCTTACTTTTAGGGTTTACAAGTACAGATATGACTAATAATATAAAAAAAGGGTAAAAAATTGGTGTGCGTTTTTAATCGGTTAGTGTAGGTCTATGCGCGATTGGGTCGTCTGCGTTTTGCTCAGTTAAGAAATATAAGTAAAGATACATTTCATTCGAAAAATAAATAGCGTTCCGAAAAGTAAATCTGATTCTTACGACTTCAATATTTTCATAAGCAGTAATTACCAACGATGGTAGGAGAAAAAAAAAAAATTACAATCAGAAATATTTACCAACATATATTTGGATATAGTTTAGATTTTCTTTCTTCTTTTTTTTTTTGCTTTACTTCTTTCCATTAAACACATTCCACTTTTTAACAAGCCCCGCTTTTGAAAGGTATCACTTGTCGGATGCAAAGCCAGTAGCCATGTTTTTAATCTTCTTCTCTCTCTTCAAACAGCAAGGATAAAAAATCTTAAAGCTCGTCGTCTTTCAACATTTTTTTTCTTAACAAAATATAAATAAATATATAAAAATAATAAGAAAGAAAGAAAGAAAAAAAAAAGAAAGAAAGAAAAAGAAAAATATGTTATGGAAAGTGTTCCAACATTAATCATACCCATTACTATTTTGGTTTATAATTTTCATTTTACATCCTCCACAAGTAACGGTTTCCAAATTTGAAATTTCGTCCCTTCGGAAGCCCCAGGTGCCAATCTCAGTGACACATGAATTCGTGTAACTTCTCCTCTTCTTCCTAGCATTGTAGATTAATTTTTGATTGCCTCCTGATTTTTTATGGATTCGCCTGTTTCTCTTGATATCACAAACTTCTAGTTTGCTTTCTATGAGTTCTACCTCACAAACACAATGTGTTTATACTCAAACGCACAAAATGCATTTGTCATGGCGAAGAAGTCACAAAACGGAACAAGTTTCAAAAAGAGATGTTTAAACTTTAGAAATATAAATATCAGTTCTAGTTTTCAAAAGTTTTATAAAAATATATACACTCATAACCATAGACGTATATTTTCAGAGCAATACAATTTTATATTAACGCTTAATATACAAATATAAAATACTACTTTTGCATATATATATATATATATATATATATATATATATATATATATATATATATATATATATATATATATATATATATCCACAGCTTTAGGTGAGCGGTGATGAGCTGCTCGTAATGAGAAACCGAAGTCGAGTTCATTACTTTAACTTATGCGCAAATACACTTGGGAAAGGCATGAAGCAATCTTTTTAGTCCCCCCAATTATGGGTTAAATAATAGGACAGTCTGGACTCTAGCCTTGGTTGGCAAGCAGTATAGGAGAAGGACAACTTTGAATTTAAAAGCGTATGCAGCCCCGGCGAAGCGTATACAATGCAGCTAAAGAAATGAACGCGGAGTTTACAATGACCCTATAATCCCAACTACAGTCGACTTCATTTTTCCCTTATATATCCATAGATATTTGATGAATACATACTCATTGGTAATTATATATATATATATATATATATATATATATATATATATATAACAATCGGACGTCTAGCCACACTGAAGAGCTGTGATACAGCGAAAGAGTCTGTCTCTGGATGACTATATATATATATATATATATATATATATATATATATATATATGCTCCCGGAAATCTGGTTGAGTTCTCTAGGGAAAGGGTTTTTTTTTTTTAAAAAAAACGATGGCTTCTACTGCTATTAAGCATTACTCTTCAAGCAAATTGAATTGAATTTTCCGAGCTCTTGGCGTATTTCGTATAGAAAAACGTTAAAATTCCCTTCCTTTCTGCCGTGCGATGATGGCCTAGAGGTGAGATATCTGACTGTTGTGGTGTTCTCCCTCTAGGAGTCTATGTTAAACTCTTCCGCCTACTATAAGTTTAGTAGGAGAGAAGGTTCGGGGAACAGTGAACAGTAAATAGATTGAGCGCTAGTTCATTCAATACACTCTCACTAGTCGTGTAATACTCTCCTGGCGTACTTACTGATTAATATACGATATATCTGCAAACATGGTTTTTATTATTACTTAACCATTTACATGGTCACAACACTGACTGATGTCAAATCAGTTGGGTTCCGATCCCGTCTTGAAGCATTCGGACGTCTAGCCACACTGAGTCGCTGCGAAACAGTCTGTCTGTGGATGACTATGTATATATGTGTGGTGTGTGTGTATGTGTGTGTGTATAATGAAATGAATTAAGTCCGACAATTATTTAATATATTTTCTGTTTATACGTTATTTTTATCGACTCGAAGATAAATATTATATATGTGTTGCTGACCTCAAAGGTCACCAGAAGTCACCACAATGCAACGTAGAGTCAACACTGTTGTAACGTTTACGTACACACACGTGGAGCAAAAATATATACAGCCCGTTTGAAAGTTATGCAAATCACATAAGCATCAATAATTCGAAGACACTTTACACAAATTTTACCAAATGAATTTAGATGTCAAAAAAAAAAAAAAAGTTTATGTTATTGGATTTATTATAAAAACTGCAGCCTGAAGTTATATAGAAGTAAAAAAATCACTATTTACTTCAATCACTAGTCGCGTAACCCCTTTAGGGTCGTAGATGCACCACATCTACTGCAGTGGTATTTCAGGGGCAAGACAGACGGTAAAGCATAAAAATAAGGTTGGAAAGCTTTTTCAGAGATGCATAACATTGTGGAGGTATCTATACCATCCAAATTCTTTTCGACAAAACGATTCAGAATACACAACAGGTTGGCATTTTATGATTTTATTGGTCGTTCTTAAAGAAATTCCATCGATAAAACCTTGTGTGGTCGTTGCTTGGGGTTAAATTGTTTCAATGTTTTAGATATTCAGTAAATTTCCTATGGCTGTAATTACTTTCAAATAGTATGGTATTGTTCACAAATCTAATAATGAAAAAGACAAAGATAAAGCGTCAGAGCTTGATTCAACTCCAAGTGCAATTGCATGAACGCCCATTTCTTCTTCGCACGTTTACTGTAAAGCTTGGTTTAATAAGAGGTTCTTCGGGAATTTTTCCATTTTAACGCTTCAATAATATTCTTAAACAATTTTTGCATCAAAAGTTGTTCGAATACCAATTTAGGATGGAATCATATGAAGAAACTATTGGCTAAATGGCAAAAGACGATTTTGGATCTAGTTTGTCGCAGATTTCATCGTCTCAACTGAAATAATCTAAAACATTCACGCAAGACAATTTGTGTGTCATATGTAATTTACATTGCAAATTTGGAATGCATCGGATGAAAAACCAGGGAGTTATGGCCGAAAAATGGACTTTTTGAACAGTTTTTCGTTATACGCGGGGAAGCGAACAGGACTAAAACAACACTATCTTATTTCTTGCATGATAGCATTTTATGCGAAATGTTTGAAGTAAATCGGATAAAAAAATGAGGCAGTTATTTAAGTTTTTGTTTCAAGTCGTACGAAAAACCCGATTTTACAGTTTTTTGCAATTTTTTGTGTGAAGCCAATGTCGCAGGAAAACTATCAAGCACATCAACCTCGTTTTTTGCAATTTTTTGTGTGAAGCCAATGTCGCAGGAAAACTATCAAGCACATCAACCTCGTAGCATGAACTATGTTTTGCAATAAATGCAAAGAACATCAGCCCATCCAGTAAGAATTTTGTTGCCTTTTACAAAAAGTTGTACTTACCTTCAGTTTTATTGATTTTTCTGCCAAACTCAGTAGAGCTAAAGATTGAAAAGTTAGTCTTGACCTAAGTTAATAAATTCGCAACATGTGTGTACAATTTTATCGAAATCGGTCGAGAAATTTAGGCGTGCATAAATAGCATACACACACTCACACAGAAATCTTCTGTTTATATATATATATATATATATATATATATATATATATATGACCATACTGCTGTACAGTTGAGAATCGTGGACCCAGGGAGGGCGTTCTGAAGATTGAAAAGTTAATCTTGATCTATCGCAGTAAATTTGCAACATGTGTGTACAATTTCATTGAAATCGTCGAGATATGTGTTCGTGCATAAATAGCACACACACACACACACACACACACACACACACACACACATACATACATACATACATACATACATACATAGATCTGTTTTATAGATATAGATTTATTCCATAAAATAGAAATAAAAGTTTGGCTGTGTAAAAAGGTGAGCCTTTTATTAACAACAGAGTCCGAATCCAATTTTTTAAATGGTTGGAATTCAGATTTTACCTTCTCCTAGACTAGTTGCCAACCAAGGATATAGAGCCCAATTTGTCCTGCTACATACCCATAGCTTGGGAGGGGGGATTCATTCCGTCCCCACAGCGACTCTAAAGAACATGACTGGAAGTCGAAGTCGGCTCGCCCTTTCCCCAAACTAAGCCACTA